TCCTAATCTTTAAGGGATCTTCAAATATCTTTGATCTTCCATTCATGTGAGCCATTTGACCTGGATCTTTCTTTACCAAAATCACCCTTTCAGGTTTTCAATTTAAATCTTTTTTTTTTTCATTTTTTCATTTTCTCATTCTTTTTTTTTCTTTTTTTTTCATCTTTTTTTTCTCATTTTTCATCCATTGTTGATATCTTTCATACATCAAACTTTAGAACAATGTAGCATGATTCCATTGCTTCATCATGAGTATACCTTCGCTCAACATATGATCCTTCAAGTTAAGTATTCACACTTGATCCAAATGAACTTTTTAAGGCTATAATGTAGGCCAAGGTGAAGGGTCATAAAAGAAATGAATATAATAAGCTCAAAACATTATTAAAAAAGTTCAGAACCAAAAGATCATTTGATACAACTTGACATTTTGCCCTCAAATCATTTCACTATTTTTTCTTTCTTCACATAAAAGATTCTCATTATTTTACCCCAAATCATGTGTGACATTTATTTTTCTTTTACTTTTCTTTCTCTTTCCATCTTTGAGACCTTTTATGTTTTTTTTTTTCAAAAATTACCCTCCAGTGTAGAGGGTGATCCTTGGTTGAGATTTTTTAGAAAAAGAAATCATAATAGACTCAAAGGGGTAGTAATGAATGATTTTTCGAATGGTAAAAAAAAGATGACCATTTTTCATCTCAATTGTGAATACCTTTCTTGAACATCATCTATTAAACAAAGCTCATGAATCTGTATAAAAGATTGTACATCTTCAAGACATATCTATTTCACCTCCAGTAACAACTTATTTTTGCTCAAATCATCTCTTCATATTAATGCGGATGAGTTCTCAAAATTAAATCTCAAAATTATTGTTATCATTGTCTAAATATTCATCATTTGAAATTTAAGAATGAGAATGTAAAGTTATGAAAGGTAACAGGGCATGAAATAATGGTCGAGTGAAAGAGAAAATATAATGAAATGCATTAAGTTGCCCTTATTAAGATGATAACAAGTGAAATCATATTGCAGAAAAAAATCCTAACATTACTTTAAAAGAACTCTTAGAATGACAAGTAGCATTCAACCAGTTTTAACATCCTCTTTAAAATCATGCCCCTGGGCAATCAAGTGAAAGATTTTTATCTCGCCCCATTAATTCATTGCGACTCTTTATATTTTGATCCTCAAACAAAATGATTGGGCTTTTCCTGTCGAGTTCTAAAAATACAGGCTTGACCATTTGAACGACTACTTCCATTATCATGCTCCCTGTTGTAGTGCTTCTGGTAAAGGTAATCTTGTCAACATTGGAATGAGATGCCAAAACAATCGCAACTTCCAGGCCTGATCCAATCAGAATGTTCAAGACACCTGAAAGAAAATCAACCTTCCTACACACGTCAGCCAGCTCCAAACAGGTGATAGATACCAACTAGGGAGGCTGCAGTATTGCAACACAATCTGTAGCCAAAGCAAGAGCTACTTTTTAAGAGGCCATCAACAGTGGATACTTTCATAGAGTAATCAATCCAACGACCCCAAGTGGCTCCTTAAGCACATAACTCTTAAATGTCTCAATAAGAAGAGAAATGGCAACCTTTTGCTTCGCATCTAAACTTTCAACAAGGTACGTATAGTACTCAAAACATCCAACAACATCATTAATATCCCAAGTTGCTTCATCAAGTGGTTTCCCATAATCAATTGCTCAAGCTTTGCTATTTCAAATTTTCTCTTTGTTATTTTGGAAACGATGGCCCGTAAATGCTTGGCATGAACAACGTCAGAAGCTGAAGCCTAATCTTTACTTTTGTTTCTAGAAAGAGCTCTCTGAGTAGTAGCCACCGCAAGCTTCACATCTTCAGCTGTAGCTGCTAGAATATGATCGATGTTTCGTTCAATTGTAAGATAGATAATTAAAATTCACTTCTTGAAAACAGGCTCTCCACTCGTTGTCGATGAGTAACATTCAACTCAAAATTTAGCCACCATATTAAATCAGTTTGCTTTTTTTTTTTGTTTCACTCTCATCTTCAAACCAGTGTCTAAGAAGCTTTTTTCTTTTTTTCTATGATCTTTCCTTAATCTCTGTACTCGTGTTCCCTTGTTTAACTTGTTCAAAGCCTCTAAAATCTTATTCAACTCTCCTTCTAACTTCTCCTGAGCTTTCTCTATTCTCTCGAGACAACTGAAATTTTCTTGCTCCATTAGTCTGGCTTAAGCTCTTGTATTGTATTGGTGAGTGGGGTTGTTTGGTGGAGCTATCCTTGAACCTCTAACACCACAATTATGATTAGAAATGCTATGCTATGCTTTATGTATGATTTGTTGATGCACGAATGAAATGTATATTTTTCTGAATGAAATCTAATATGGAATGGATGCAAATGATTATGTTAAAACATGATCATGAAAGTAATGCAGATACATAAAATCAGACAAACAACATAGTTAGTTTCATGGATGAAATGAAAATGATGCTGATGCATAATGTTACATATGATAATAAAAATGATGCATAAAGTCAGACAATCAAAATGATTAAATAAACACCCTTTTGTGTCTTAATTTCAGGGTATATCTATCATTGGGTAGAAAAGGCTCTATCCTAGGTTTAGGTACTTCTAAGGTTCACTATATGTGGTTCAAGGTTAAAATCTAAAAGTTTTCAAATTGCTCCTTACATCATTGTCCATCACAGACTAGTAAGGCACCATAATCATCACCCATTACAAGCTACAAGCGAAAAAAGTTCAATTTAAATAGGAGTATTTCGCTAGCCATTGCGAAGGCATTAAATCTCACAAAAGCAATAGGTACTTTACTCCCTCTTAGAGGGACAGAGCTTGGGTATAGAGCTCATGTTATGCATATGCATATGAATGACATAATTACTAAAGTAAATAAACATGAATGAATAAAAAATTTTATACAAAAGGTTCAATTTTATTAGGCTTTTGGATAACATAAATTATTTGCTAGCCTGACTCTCAGAGTTTCCCAGTGGAGTCGTCAAGCTATCATAACATCTAGATCCAGAGATCTATCGCTAGACATTGACTTAAAGGAGTTACCACCAATCTTTTTTATCTAGGTGCGATTGATCACTTAAAGAATCTGTCCTTTTAGGGAACATATAAGTTTAAGGACCTCTAAAAGAATAAGTTCAGGTCTACTAACCAGAATAGGATTTGGGAGTTCGATTACGTGTGAGAAAAGTTATAGCACCTTCACAACGCCCATCAAAAGATGGTACCAGCTTAAATTTGTGTTATCCAATGAGCCTTAAAAATTTATCAAGTAATTAATTATTGAAAATTATTCTCAATAACTCTAATACTTTTAGAAAAAAATTGAGAAAATTCCCTCACCTCAAGAGTATGCAAGAAAAACTATTATTTCACTTGCAAAGGCTCCATCGTCAGATTATTTAACATTTTAAAAAAATAAAATGGAGAAAAGAATGATTGTTTTTATGCAAGAAAAATTGATACTTTCAACTTTTCCTCAAAAATTTATTTTTTTGAAAATTTATTTTTAAGAAAAATTAGATACTTTCAACTTTTCCCCAAAAATATTTTTTTTAATTTTATTTACAGAAAATAAAATAATAAAACAAAATAAAAGTGAGAAATAAAAAAAATAATAAAGAAAAGTAAAACAAAAATAAAAATAAAATAAAAATAAAAGAACATTAAATAAACCTAGTCTAATAAATTAATAAATTAAAAAAAAACCTGAAGCGGCTCGAAAAACGACTTGGCTCAAGGAAGAAAAACGACTTGAAAAAGTGGCTCGAGACGTCGACTTGACTCGGCTATCGGCTCGGAGGGGGGAAGACACGTGCGGGTCGAAAGCGGATCGACGCTCGGATCCGATCGGATCTCAGTAAAACGCACGGATCCTCTAGGTCACTTAAGGCAAAAACGACGTGGTTTTGAGAGGGCATATAAAGTTGTTTCCTTCATTTTTTGGTAGAAACCTTCTCCCCTCTCTCTTTTCTTTCCTTTTTCTCTCATTTCTCTCTAAAAATGCTGAAGAACTCCGGTTGAATATTCACCGAATTTTAAAATTTTTCCTCAGAATCTGGGTTTTTCATAGAAAGTTCGTAGGAAAGTTGGTCGATTTCTAGGATTCTTCACCGAAAACTGGACAGCTCGTCGAAAACTTCAAAGTTGGCCGAAATTATCGTCGAAAAATTCAATCTTCGCCAAAAAACTCATCGGAATCTGAAAATTTTTCAAAAATTTCCAAAAAAAATTTTCGCCAAAAATCTCCAAAAAATCTTTCCGATTCTCACAGCTATTCTAACACTTCTTAACCTTCTTTTAGCCTTCAAAAATTTTCTATGCGTCTTTTTCTCTCAATCAGTAGCCTTTGTGCTCACTGTTTTCTCTGTGTGTTCTTCTTTCTGTTTCAGTACCTATTTATAGAGATTGATTAGAAGAGTTTCTGATCAATCCCTATTCCTTTTTGGATGGGAATTCAATCTTTGAATCCAATCTGGATTCTAATTGAATCCCCCATTCACGGTAAGATTCTTCCAAGATCAATCTCCACCCAAAAAAAGAAAAAAAATCTGATAAACGAGAAAAAAAAATCAAATAAACGAAAAAAGAAAAAAAATAAACAGATAATTAAAAATAATAATAAGATAAATAAAAAATATTACAAGATAAATAAAATAATAATAATAATAAATAAATTATAATAATAAATATATAACTAGATAAATAAAATACATATATAAATATTAACAAAAAAATGAATAAATAAATAAAGATATACATATATTAATACATAGTAATAATAAATAAATAATAAATACATAAAATACAAAAGAAAAGAAAAAAAATAAAATACAAAATAAAAATCAAATTGAGCTTACTCATTTGGATCAGGTCCAATTGATCCAGGCCTGGATCAAATTGAGTGTCTACACATAATATGAACCAAAAGTAAAAGGTATGCATAAGAGTGTAAAGAAGCAATTACCCGTTGCTATGATGCTCTTGCCAGGGGCAGGAGGGAGCATGAAACAACTCTTCGGTGTTGTCGTTTGAAACTAAACCAATAGAAACAAAAAGACTCATTACAAGACTCATCAAAGCATTGGTTATAATATACTACATTTAACTATCATTTAACGATAACATACTCACTTCCACTTCTATCTCTAACTTATTAATTATAACATACAAATATGGACAATAAGAAAGACATAAACAACAAAGCGAAAAAAAAATATTCTAAAGGTTTAAGGTATTTCTTGAAAGCTACACATGACTTGCTCGTGTTTTTTATTCTGAATGTGACCCCCACCTGTTTCCTAGGCTCATCTTGGAAAATACAAAACAAAGATACACAATTAAAAAAAAAACAAACTATAATATGAAATTACTTATTTCAAATAATGACATTTAATTCTTAACCCTTCAAATTTGGATGCAAATTCTTTCAAAATAAATCAAATAAAAGATTTTTTTAGTTAAGTTAAAGTTTAAAAAAAAGATTTTTTCAATAATTAATAACAAAGAAAAGATAAACTAAAGACTACAAAATTTACTCAGCAATCTTGATTCTCAACAAGCTTTACTCTTTCAAATTTATTGACTTTATTGTCGATTTCCAGATATAAGCATCAAAATTTTTGCTTTAGCATTAATCAAACAAACGAAAAATATTTTATTTATTTTATTTAATTATTAATTAGTCCTTATAATTATTTAATGAAAATATTAACCCATTAGTACTCTGAAGCATTTAACTTTGTGAAAATTAGACCAAGGAGACAATTTCTATGTCATCTTTCGGCCATAATTTACTTATATCTTCTTGTCCATATTTACATAGATACTACTTCAAAAAAGCTTAGAAAATTGCATAATTAAGCTTCCGCTTCAATTCAAGTTCTACCATTTAACAAATATCTTGCAAAAAGCTTTTGTTGCCAGTATTTTTTTTCAGTTGAATGCCTTAATCATACCTTGTTTATATCAAAATCAACAAGCCAAGTAATGAAATTATACCTTGGAAAGAGAAGACGAGTTCCAAACAAGCTAAAAGGCCAGTAGTCATGGGCAATTATGGGCAGCTGTCACGGGTTGAAGGGCTCGCGGCGTCACGGGCTTAAGGGGTCATAGCACAACATGGTAGGGCAGCGATCACGATTCTTTTCTTTGCAATCATTCAATGATCAAGACACTGATGCTTCATTTTTACCCCCTAAACATTGACCCAGTTTGAGCATTTGATATTGTTTAAGCAAATTTTTTAGCCTTAGTGCTCAAAACACCAATATCTACATTCACAAACCAAGTATTTCAAGATTTAGAATATAGAGTACTTCAAGAAAAGGCCAACGCCAAGTCTTATAAGGAGCATGTAATCTTGAATGAATCAAAATACCATAATTAAAGCCATAAAAATACAATTGAAAATCACTGATAATGTTAGTTTTAGCCATTCAATTTATAGAAAATAAAATTCCAAGTATAAGCAATTAAAAAATTACATGCAAAAATAACACGTAATTTTTTTTCTCCCAAACCCAAAAATAGCAACTAATATATAACTCAATATTGCAAAAATAACTTAAAATCAACAAGCCAACAAGAGATACCTTACTTTAGTACAGAAGATGATTTGCAAATAAGCTGGAGGGCCGGTGGTCAAGGGGACAAATGAGAGTGGGCGACAGTCACAGGGTGGCCAACACTCTCCAATTCTAAGGCATCACAGGCTCGGGCTAAGGGTAGAAGGGAAAGGCCAAGCGGTCACAACAGGGAACGACATGGCAAGGAGGAGAGGGGGAGAGAGAGGGGACGGAGAGAAGAGAGGGAGAAAGAGAGAGTTAGGGATTGGGATTGGGATTGGGGAATAAGGGAAATGGGAAAGGAAAAATTATGATATAATAGACTTTTCACTCGTGGAAATTAATGATCATGACCACACCCCTTTCTCACCAGTGGACAATCGGGCTGTCACTGGTGCCCGATCAGCACAATCGTGCTGTAGCTTTGTTACCCAAATGAAAATCTGCGGCACGTTTACATAAAAAAGATGCTTCATCGCACCAAACAGATTGAATCCAAATCAGGACTTAACCATTTTACATAGAAAATTAAACTCAGAAAAGAAATGAACTAATAAACTAAAAGGGAAACAAACTAGGTTCAAGAAACCTATATGCATAAAGAAAAACAACTATAGCGAGGAAAAGTATTTAGCAGAAATAGAGGCAAAGAAAAAGAAAAGCTGCCTATATCAATCCACTACTCAATATCTTACAAATATTTCTGATCAATATTTGGCCACACGAAATCAAATGGACACGATTACCAATGATGAAATGCAAAATATGTACAAATAAGTAATGCAATTTTTGGAGCTTTCTTCGCTTACTCAATTAAGTGAGTTTGAGATAGCACTGACTTTCCCTTTGGTGCAGATACAGGGCAATAAGAACTACAAAGGAAAAGACAACTAAGGAAGCTTATCATCCATTTTATTGTTTTAGTAGTAAAATTAATTACCCTGAGCTAAATCTGCTGAAACTTGAAGGTATGAAACAGCTCTCGGATTCAAAAGTGAGTAGTTCCAACCATTTCCATCGGCAATAAAGATTAGTAAATAAAGGAGCAAATACGATAATGAATATGTAACATTCAGATTTATCAAGGTCAAAGACCATTTTGATTAAAATTACATCTACCTTTGCCTATGCCATAAAGATTGTCCTCAATATAGCAATGTATAATGTTGGTCAACTATCCCAATATGAAACAAGAGACAGGTTCTTTCCAACTTCTTGAATAATTCTGATTAAAAGGACATATAAAATATCACAATATCGGTCAACCAGCAACATCATTAACAATAACAAGGGAGCACTCCAGACATTCTAGGTTTAGAAAACAAAAAATCATCTGCAAAGTTCCTACCTTTCTTCCGGCTGGTGGCCGCAACGAATGTGTAACATCTGCTACTAAGGAACTTTATCATCCATATTATCCTTTTAGTAGTAAAATTAATTAACCCATCAAATCATCTGTAAATCAAAAACACTGCTGTAAGATCAATCAAAAAGCGAAAGGAAAATTAACTAAGGCAGCAATAAAATGATTAAAAAAAGTGAAAACATGATCCGTTGTATTATATGAAGATCATTAAAAAAATATGAAAATATATATTTTAAAATTTTAATAAAAATTATATATAAATTTAATAAAAATAAAAAATATATTTTATTTTTAATATATCAACACAAATTAATTACATAGCAAATTTTACATTTTATGACACAAAATAATTATAAATAATTTCCAAGATCACGTTACAAAGACAATTCAATTTAACTTTTCAAAAGTTTTAAAGCCAAGAAATTTGTGTAATCAAGTTCTCAAATTTCAATCTAAGGAACCATCAAAATTTTTTTCTTGCAATGAAAGACTGGAGTATCTTCAGCTTATTATTAGTAGATTGAAGTTCTGCTCTAAACAAAAGCGATTTCCAATATGAAAGTTATGCTATGCTAAGAATCCCAAATCACAGAGTTGCTTATACAGCTTTGAGTTGGGCCTGTTCATGTCAAATAAAAAAAAAAAAAAAAGGTAACCCTGAACCTTCAAGCTTTAGACAATTTGAAATGAAATGCGCTGCTGAACCAATAGGCTTTACAATCAATTCACTTGATATGAATCAAGTTGTGAAAAGTGAACCCGACCAACCATGTTTTTATCTAGCTTCTGGTATTGTAATGGTGACCGAATTTTTTGTTGAAGATGTTCCATCCTCTGTATCACAGGAACTTCTTTCTGTGAAGAAGCCAGGCTCTTTCGGTTTTGGCAGCGTGACCTCCTCATTACCCAACATCAGAACCACGGATGACACTGCTGGCCTGTCTTCTGGGTGTTTCTGAACACATAGTAGACCTACTTGAATGCATCTTCCAACTTGGGCTTCAACACATGAATCTTCCAATGAAGGATCCATAAGCTCCAAAGCCTTGCCATTGTTCCACAACAACCATGCCTAAACCAAAATGAAAGTCATATGGGAATTTTAATTAGATTTGGTAATTTCTGTATTTATATCGTGTTTTACATGAAAATTATGTGTTAAAATTAACATTTACACCAAAAACACGAAATACTTTTTTTTTGTTAAATTTATATATAATTGTTATTAAATTTTTAATTCATTTCTTTTTTCGTGTTTTTTTTCATAGTATTTTCGTATTATATTTTAAATTATCATATTGAGTTTTTATCTGATGAAAGGCTGATGATAAAATATGCAAAACTAAAGGAGTTTAGCTTAATCACTTGTACTTACATGTCCCAAAAGATTGTGGTAATGATCAGGATGATTGAAACCCCTGTTCCTTTTGCCACTTATTATCTCTAACAAAAGCACCCCAAAGCTAAATACATCAGACTTCATTGAAAATTTTCCATCCATTGCATACTCTGGAGACATATAACCACTACAAGAAATGATCAAACATAAGCTTTGAAGATGACGAAAAGCATTCCTTTTTATGCAAAAAAAGTTGTAATCAACTTACTATGTGCCAACTACTCGTTTTGTTTTGGCTTCAACTTGATCACCTCCAAACATTTTTGCTATGCCAAAGTCTGAAATTTTGGGGTTCAACTCATTGTCTAGTAAGATATTGCTGGATTTCAGATCCCTATGAATGATTCGCAACCTTGAATCTTGATGGAGATAAAGAAGTCCTCTTGAAATTCCCATAACTATTTCAAAACGCTTCGGCCATGTCAACACCATTCTCTTGCTTTGATCTGCATAACAGTTCATTTAGTATTTTCTTTAGGGTAAAATACACCGATGGGTACTCAATTAGAATTGTGTTTTTAAAATGATCAATTAATTATTAATTTTTTCATTTAGTCTCTAAAATTTGAATAAAATTTTTTTAACTCAACAATTAGTTTGTAATGACGTGGTAGCACGAAATTGTCATATTATTTTATTTGTCACGTAGTATTATAAATTTAAAAAAAAATTAACTTTTGTTAAATTTGTAATTTCATTATGGTACCTGACAACTAATATGTTATTGTTATGTTAGCATGTCATAAAAAAAAACTATAACGATTGAAAGACAAAAAATCATTTATTCAAATTTTAGTAACTAAATTAAAAAATATAATAATTTAATAACCATTTTAAAAATATGATTATAATTGAGTTATCAATAGTTTAATTTATCTTTTTCTTTAATAAAATATATCAATTGCGTACAGATTTGAAGTTTTATAAATGAAATTTAGATGAAAAAGATGGAGATTAGATAAACAAACCGAAAATAAAGCAATCGAGGCTTTTGTTTGGCATAAACTCATAGATGAGCATCCTTTCATCTCTTTCAACGCAATAGCCCAAAAGTCTAACAAGATTCCTATGCTGAAGCTTAGCTATCATTACAACTTCATTCTTGAACTCTTCAACACCTTGCTTGGAATTGCTTGAGAGCCTCTTCACCGCAATTTCTTGTCCCCTAAATAGCTCACCCTGCAAATTATTGTGTGCAACAAGTAAGAACTGAGGTACATCATCCTCCTCCTCAATGAATTATATTACAATGGAAGCAGACATTATCTCTATTACCTTGTACACAAGTCCGAACCCGCCTTCTCCTATTTTATTTGAATTGGAGAAGTTGCTGGTGGCGGATGCAATGGTAACAAAATCAAATAATGGCAACTCCAGATCTTCTTTATCTACTCTTGATCCTGCATGTGAAAGAACAAGTATTATGAATCTACGGTTGGAAGGAGTCCAACCTTGAATCACTTTTTTTTTTGTTACATAGGAGGTCATAGCCTAATGATAGGAAAAAAGATTATAATTGTTGAGATTTGAACCCCAAACTTATTGGATTTAAGATGCAATGGTTGCTCTTGTTTATCACAAGCGTCAAGTGTGATATGTTAGTTACAATAGTAGGTCAGGGCACAAAATTGTTCCACATGTTTCATATTCTTACTTTAATAATAACAACTTTGGATGAGTTTGTTTACCTATTTTCTTTCTCTTTTTCTTCAAAATTCTATACCAACATGCCAAAAAGAAAGCAAGCAACCCAGAAATTGTTGATGTGACCACTATAATCACTATGTTCTTACTTTTCCAACTTGAATCACCTGTCAACTCGTTAGCAACAAATCAAGGAATTAAAGCAAATTATTCTACGGGCCAAAAAAAAAAAAAAAGCAAATTAGTCTTCATTTTCCTCAAAATGCAGCAGTAATTATCATGATCCAAAAAAGAAAATTCAAATTATTCATATCTAGTGCATTTCAGTAAATGTCATAAACTGATGAGTAGAAACAAATTTCAAAGTCCTAGTCAGGTTGATACTTGCAGCATAATACTCAAAATCATGACTTAGTTACCATCTATCAGTTTAATATCCATGCTCAAATCAAGGTGTAGAAACCTGTAGCTAATTTGCAAGGTATTATTTATTTTGATCTAAAAGTCTCACAGTTTGTCTCTTAAAAAATACCTCACAAGTATGAGTGCAAGTCTCTACATATATATTGTACCTGATCCTCAGACTATGGTGACAGGGGACAGGGGTTTTACCTAAGGTTATCAATTGTCGTTATAAAGTGAAGGATTCACTTACTTAGTTCTGAAGCTGGCATCCGAATATAGATATCTTGCTTGCTTTGTCCTTGAATGTATTCCCGGATATCAATCAGATTGCCAAACCACATTAAACAACCACTACCTCCATTTGAAATATCCGAATTAGCATAAGCTGTGCAAGAACAATTCTTAAAGCACTCTGCCCTGCATTCCTTGAGGTTTAGGTTCTTATTAAACTTAAATTCCAATAGATCAGGCAATTTCACATTCTCAAGCTTCACAAATCCCTCTCCCTTCTGGCAATCTAACGGAGTCCTTCTCGCACATCCACCAGTCCAATTGAGTACTTCCCACTCGTGTGGTAATCTAGGAAGGAACCCTGTCAAGCATTCACAAATTGGCCTTTTATTGATTCTGCAAATTCCATTAGGGCCACACTGTGCATAATCATCACACAAGTCGTTCTGCACTGAATACATGACTGTCCATTCCCCGCTGTTTCCATACAACACAAGACGTTGAAGCAAACCCGATTCGGTCAACATAAATCTGGAGATAAGAGAATTGTCCTTCACTGCATAATTAATGTAAAGCTCCTCTGTGGTATCAACAAAAACATAGTTCAAAACTGTGGTATTCTGTAAAGGAACACCACTAAATCTGATTCCATTCCATGGCCCAGTACGAAACCTCTTCTTCATCCCCTGACGAAGAAAAAGCTGAGGCAAGCCAATATTGTCAATTCTGTAAGTAAAATCTCCAGGAGATGGATCATAAACATCTTTCCATGCTGTCAAAAATCGATTTATACCAGTCTTGAAGTTCCTTCCCATCTTCATCCCTGGCAATTGAGTGTCTGATGGAAAATCAAAACTTTCCCATAAGTAGCTTTTTGTATCATTGTCTCTAACAACAAAATTTCCTGAATCCAACAGCTGTGCAAAAACTGGACTTTTTGTTGCTCTAGATGAATTGGATGACCAAAAAATATTGTTTTCTCCATCAAAGATAACAAGATTACCAGTGCTGGAAATGGTATGGATTGCATGTGAATCTTTAACTGGGTTTTCTCTATTAGCAATCCATACAACAATATCAGGAAACTTTTTGTACCATATTGCTAAGTATTGGTTCTTGGACTCACCAGGTGAGAAGAAGCCTAGCTCAAAGATTTTACTTGAAGAAACTAAGGTGCTGCCATTCCGAATGGATTGAGTTGGAGTTAAGGTATCAGCAGCAGAAGAATAGTATATGCCTGAAAACAAAACTAGACAGTGAAAGAAGACCAAACCAAGAGTCGTCATTAATTACAATAGCAAAGAGAAAAAAAAAAAAAAAGAAAAAGGAAAGAAAGAGCTCTGTCGTTTTGGGATTTTTCAATCCATGAAACTTTTATTATAATCAGAACATGCATGAATCAATTGTAAAACTATAACCCAGAAAAGGAGACAAGTAATAAAGAGTAATATTGTTTCATCCCAAAAACGAAAAATAAAATGGTTTACATTAGCGGTTGACTGTCAGAATCAAAAGCTTAACATGGTTTCCTTCTGCTGCTATCTATCCCATTGGACCGTGATTGGCATGGAAAACTTAAGATAAATGGAAAATATGCAATTTGGTATATATCAATTCAACCTTTAGACCCTTTTTATTTATTGAAGAAGAAAAATATGCAATTTAAGGCAATAATATTCAAAGTCTAATTAGATTGAAAATTCAATGGTCAACGTTTTCCTTAAAAAATAAGTTAAAAATGATATGTAAATAAAATCATAAATAAATCTTATTATATATTTTGTTAAATTTGACATAGATAAATTTATTTGAATTGATTAAAAAAATAGTGAACAGTACCAAAAACTCCTTATTGCTTAATAAAAAGTCTTTCTTTTAGACTTGATAATCTAAAATACAGTATGAATACGATACGAAAATAAGATACGAAAGTCACACGACTTAAAATTATAGTAATGATTATATATGTATTTATATTTTGGTATTTATATAAATTATGATATAATTTTTGTATAAAACATAATATAAATACATAAATTTTAATATTTTATACGACGTAAATACTCAATTTGTCAAGTCTACTTCCAATCATAACATTACTTGTGTTTAGGTGGGACATGAACGATGACTTAACTATGTCATATATCAAAAATTTTAATATATATATATATATCAGTACACTCTATTTGACAGTTAATTAACATTGCAAAGATAATTTCAAAATATAGCAATTCAAAGCCTTTTTTTTTTTTTCTAGCATAGGAATTCAGAACTTTAGAGTATAGCATAGCAGATTTTATTATAACCATGAAAATATTTGACATTTGATCAAATATTTATGTTTGCATAGTAAAGAATACGATAAGCTTAAACTATATGTACATAGTAAATTTTATATTTTAAATTTTGAAATGTACACTATATTGTTCTTTACATAATCTTTTGTCTAAAATCTTATCAAAAAGAAATTTTTATAGTTATATATTTTCATATTTTTTCTTATCTTATTCATCAATAAGCATAAATTTTAAACTTGTATTAATGTAATGTATTATCAACTAAGGTAGGATTTTATATTTGTAGCAAAATCATCATGGATATGTAATAAATTTATTATGGAAATGTAACCATTGAGGTGATTTTATCACTCAGTAATTTAAAATCACTTTTTTTATATTACTTAAAATCAAATATTATTTTGTTTAAAAATATGAAAATAATCATGCATATTATAATAGTTAACAAGTTAATGATTTTAATGTTATTTAAAGATAATAATTTGTAACATATTAATAATATTTTATTTTTTTATAATAAAATATAATTAATTATTAAATTAATAAATATATTTATTGATAGGTAAACTAATTTTTATAATATAAATTACGTAAAAAATGAGTGAATTTGAAAATAAAACTAATTTGTTAAATTAACAATAAAAGAAAAACAAAAAATTGTGCTATATATAAAATATTAAAAAAACACATTAATTATTTTTAACTCAGTATCATGAATATTAGTTTTAAAATATAAATTTATAATATAAAATAATTATAATTTTAAAAAAATAAGTTTTTAATTTACATATTAAATTAATAAGATTGACTATTGTTGATTTTACTTATTATTTTACTTCAATGATAAAAGTTTTTTACCTTTTTAATGAAAGTTAGATCACCCTCCAAGGTAATGATGTGATCACTCTTGGTGATCTAATATCACCACCACGTAAGAACACTGAGTCCTTGCCAAGTACAGTGATCTAATTACTGTGTAAATCATCATAATTTTTTAAGTAATCATGCCATATTAAAAACTACTTAATTATACATAACCTTTTTTTTATTAAATGTATGTATATTATCCCCTTTTTTATATATACATAATCACACTAATTATGATTTACCCATTAGATATTGGGACATAAAATTAATTGTAATTTCTTATTCATAAATTTTAAATATTGATATTGCTTTGACTCTTTATTTATGACCATAGTATTAATTAATTAATATTTTTAGTGAACCACCCGTTACATATAAACGTATGATTATTTTTTTTTAAATTATCATGATTTAATTGGTTGAATTTTAATTTGCTTGATATAATTTTATTTAATTATCCACCTAAATTCTCTAAATTTTATGTGTAAGAAAAACGAAACATCATACTTGCATCTAGTGTCATTATGCAAGCAATAGTCGAATCTAGTGGAAAATTTGCCAAGACAATTTAAGGGCGTTAGGAGATGTGGAAAGCTGATTTTCATGAAAAAATAGAGCTATGACGAAGAAAAAAAAATTGCCAAGCCATGATCATAAAGCCTCAAGCTGTGAGCCACCAACAAAGGCATGTGGAGCTTTCATTTCTTGCATAAGATGGCTTGCTTAAGAGGAGCCGCTGTGCAAGCTGATTTAGAGGAGCTTCAAACTGAGTTTAGAGCTGAAACGAGGATAAAAAGCAAGCAAAAAAAAAAAAAATAAAGCAAATTTGACCAAGAAGAATTGGCAAATGAGAGAGCAAAGAGAATAAATTACAAGTCCAGCAACACGTGGAAACATAATAAAAAAAAATGTCAAACATGGATGGTGGTTTGCTGGTTCAATAAACTATTTATGGGCTGAGAAAAGACCTAGAGTAGGGTTGGAAAATAGGAGATTTTAGAGGGACAAAAAGGGGGAACTGAACCTCGGATTTCTTGTAGGAATTTTCTTCTTTCATTTTTCTGTTTCACGTCACTGGTAAGGCAGCAGACGTGCTGACCTTAACCTTGACTTTTATGATTCTATTTTAGTTATTTTCTTTGACATTTTGAGAGAGGACCAAGCTAACAACATGTGGTCTAGGTAGAGGCATGAAGAAGCCTCAATGGACCAACCAAGAAAGCATCACATGGGATGGAGCTGAGCTGGAAATTCCAGCTCATGTAGTCACGCCTGGTACCCTTCAAAACAACTCAGAAATTACCTTGGCTGTGATGATTGAATGGAGGGCTGGGACGGCTTATTTTGAAAGGTGGATATGTTGTAAAATGTCCTAGTTTTTGGCTGTAAAAAAAGGGGCAGAGGGCTAACCTTAGGGGTTTTTCCCTTTTCATTTTTTTCCCTTGTTTAATTTAGGACGTCTTTGGGGACTGGTGGCAGCAACATTGCTGGCCAACCAGCCCCTCCTTTAAGACTTCATTTCCTTTCCTTTTTAGTTCATTTTCAAGCTCTTTTAATTGTTGTTTTTAGTTATCTTTTAGCTTGTTTAAATGTCCTTCAAGTTGCAAATACATTCCAAGCTCTTTTTTATTTTGTTTATGCAAGTTCTTATTTGTATTTCCTACCAGTTTCCAGATTTAATTTCTGCCAGTTTTCAGCTTTTATTTCCTTTATTCTTCCAGCAAGTTTGCTTGATATTTGAGCTCTTTGAAGCTTGAGGAGGATGGCCTTGGATGCTATTTTGATGGAAACATCATAGGGCTCCAAGAGCTTGACTCATTGTGTGTTCATTTACTTGCACTTTATATTACATGTTTGTTCTAATTTCTGCCCAGTTTTTTTTTTTTATTTACTGTTTCTTTCCTTGTTGTTTCTTTAATATTTTTATGGTTAAATTATGTTATTATTTCATGTTAATATGTTATTTACTTGTTTGGTTTAATGCTTAGTTACATATTTTTTATTTCATGCCTTTTTCCTTTAAGTTTCATGTTTGGTTTTCAAGTCAGTTTTTGTGCAAGTTTTATTTGGTTTTTGCTCATCATCACCTATACATGTTTTGTTCATTTTTAAGTCTATTTTGATCCTTTTTTGTTTATTTTCAGTTATCATGTCGTTATTTTCACATTTGGTTGCATTTAGCTCGTTAGGACAGTAGCTTAGGTTAGATTTCATGCTACATCTTGTGCATTTTCGTTGAGTCATTTTTGGCCAGTTTTAGAAAATGTTCACCTATATCTTTTTTGTTTGTTTTCATATCTATTTTATGGTACTAAAACAGTTTATACAATTCCTTACATAAGGTCACGTTTGCATAGCATATCAAGTCATAGGTTGTATTAAGCTAGCATTTCATGTTCGGTTTTTGCATGATAATTTTCTTCCATTTCAATTCTGCTTTGCTTGTGATTTCTTATAAGTTAGATGTTGCATTTTAAGTCTATTTCATGTTTATACAGTTTGTTTTGATGTTTAATTACATTTCGTGCATGTTTAAGTGATAAAAAGTCACATAGGTCATGTAGGAATTTAGGTTAGTTTACTTGTATGTTTAATTTTCTGCTTTTCTTTTAATTTTCTGCATTTAATTTATTACACTTTATGTTTAATATATTGTTTAAGTGTGTTTAAATTATTTTTCATGCCTTAGATAATTTTTTTTCTTAATTGTGCTATTTTCCATTTTTAGCAACTTTTCTTTTTTTTTTTGTAATTTTTATATTTAGTAAACTTTAGTTCTTAGTTAATTCCCTTTTCCATAATTTGTAGTAAGTTCTTAGTCAATTACCTTCTCCATAATTTGTAGTAATTAAATTTTAAATATTTGGTAATGTTTAATTTTTCATGTAGGTTAATTAGAAAAAAATTTTGGTTTGACTAAATATACCTAAAGTGTTAAAATTGATATTTACCCCTAGATATAAGATTCTCAATCCCTAAGGAAACAATAATCCAAAATACTTTTGATCTTTATTATTTTTGTAACCTGTACATTTACAGTGCTCCAAATGGGCAGCAACAACATACACAGGTGCATCTACATAATAGATATATATATTTATATATTTCAAGACATAGAATTG